GCTGCCGTCGCGGCGGAGCTGCGCGCCCCTTCCCGGCCGGCCGGCCCGCCGGCGTGGTTCCGAGCCTGGGGAGCGCCGTCCCGCGGGCTGCAGCGTCGGCCCAGGTGCTGCGGGGAGGCGGTGCAAGGGCGGCCTCCCGTAACGGTCACCGGCACCGCAGAGGGCGGCCCTCGCCTAGCGGGACGCGCCGTGGAGAGGAGCCGCTTGGGTCTCCCTGCTCCGCGTGCCGGGAAGCGGACCGCGGGGCGAGGAGCATTCCCTCGAGGAGGTTAGACCTGTCACAGCCCCTGGAAAACAGCCCTGGAGAACGCTGCCGTGCCTGTGTCGTGCACTCCCAAGTCCTGGGCACGAGGGCTGATTTCTGAGGATTAATAGGGTGTGTGTGCGGTTTTGGATGCTTCTTATTTGGCACATGGGGCTGTTGCACGAAAAGGGACGTGTAGCTTGTGAAAGTGAGTAAGATGTCTTGTTTTACTGTGAGCTTATCTTGAGGAAAAGATGTCCTGGATGCAGGGAGCTGCTGGCAGTGCAGCAGTGACTACCCAGCTGTGTTCGGAAACCTTCTGTTTCWGGTGATACTGCTCACAAGTGCAGTATCAGAGTCAGGGTCTCTCCCCCGTCAGCACAGACGCAGGTAAGACCAGTTTATCTTTAGATGTGGCTCTTGTAGCGTATTGAGGCAGGCCTGTGTGGATGYGAAGGCTGTTATGAAGCGGTGGCTTTTGAAGTGATGCAGTGTAATTCCTCTCTATGGCGCTATCCTTGGGTCAGGGTAGACCCTGTTTATCATCTACGCGGGACTTTCTCTTCACAGGCCTTGAAGAATTTGAGGAGCAGGTTGTTTCCCGTGAGGAACGGGTGAGGACCGCCGTGGCCCCCGGGAGGCGGTGGCGCCGCGGGCAGCACGCGGGAGGAGTGAGGGCTGCGGTGGCACTGGGATCCTGGTGGGAGCGCGGCCACGGACGGGCTGTGCTGGGCTCCCGGGAAGCACTGGTGAGGGTCACAAGGAGAGGGAGGTGCCTCTTGCGTGGGAGCATCAGGAATGCATGGAGCTCCGCGTGGGAACAGGGGAAGGGCCCTCGGGGTGCGTGCGGAGCAGCGCCGCGGTGGGCAGCAGCACGTGGCACTGCTGGGGTGTCCATCGACTGCCGAGGCGGCCACAGGACAAGGCCTTGGGCAGCGGGAGGCATCCCCCTAGCCAGACGCCCTGGCTCTCCGGGGAATSTATAGAGATCATGTGTGTTCTACCTCACCCCTTGCAATAATACGTAGATAGACTGCAGATACAGAAAGATATACAGGATAGAACTCCAACAGTGTCCAAGTATGTGGGAATGGGTTTGGGAAACGGGAGTTCCTCTGGAGTGCAAGAGGCACGTGAAGAGCAACAAACAAGTTCTCTGTAAACACACAAGCAGCTCCAGGGAAGTCAGGGAGGATGCGGGCCCGTGGATGAGCACGGCTGCAGACCTGGTGGCAGCGGGCTCCGAAAAGCCRGGGGTGCCAAATGGCTTCTTCACCTCTGCCCTTGCTGATCAGAGCAGCTCTCAGGAATGCCAAAACCCTGGTAGCGCCACAGGGAAGGTCTGGAGCAGTGACCACTTGCCCTTGGTGAAACGGGAGCCGGGTATGAAAGGCGTAAACAGACTGAGCGGACACAAGCTTGCTGGCTCTGGTGGGATGGGCAGGAAAGGAAGGCTAAGGAAACTGGGTGATGTCATTCCAAAGCCAAGTGTGATTATCTTTAAAAGGTTATATAAAGTGTGTTGGGAGTGTGTCTGAGGCAAAGAGAGCAGAAGTGTCTTGAAGAGCAAGGAAAAAAGAATACCTGAACTACAGGCTTGTCAGCTGCACGTTAACCTTTGGGAAGGTGATGGAACAACCAAAGTCTAGGTGCTGTTTCTGGACTTGTGAAGGATGGAAAGGCTACAGGGAGCATGAGCCCAACCTAACAAAAATCACGGCAATCACACTTGCCAGCCTGCACGATGAGGGGACTTGCTGGAGGGCAGCAGATGTTGACTGCTGTCACTCTCTTGTCCTGCAAGGCCCTCCTGGGAAGCTGATAAGCGTGTGCTGGCTGAGTGGACACCGAGGTGGGCTGGAGCTGGGCTGCACCGTGGCCCCCGAGGGCCGCGATGAGGTGACGCTGGAGGCCACTCACCAGAGGGCCAGTGCTGCTGGGCATCTCCGTCCGTTATCTGCATGGAGGGACCAGCAAGCCCCCAGTGACACAGAACTGGGAGGAGGGGCCCTGGATGGGTGTCTTGCTGCCCAGAACCTCCTTCAGGAGGCTGGAGATGGGGGCCGAGACAAACCTCATAAAGTTCATCAAGGGAAGGTGTAAGATCCAGTTCCTTGGGAGGAATCAGCCTGTTCAGCAGTACAGGATGTGCGCCAGCTGGAAAGCAGCTTGGCAGAAGAGGTGGTGTTAAGTTGGAGAGGAGGCAGCAATGGGCCTGTGGCCGAGAAGATAAGTGTAGTATCCTGGGCTCTCAGGGGCAGCATCGGCAGCGACTTGGGGGTGTTGATAATTCCCTCCTGCTCAGCCCTTATGTCCACACCYGGAGCGCTGTGTGCCACCGGGAGCACCGTGGGGTCCCGGTCCTGGAGATGTGTGGATGCGCTGGTGAAGAGCTGTGAGGATGATCTGCAGGCTGGAGGGGCTGGGAGAGCTGGGCCTGCCCGAYCTGAGCGGGAGGCACTGTGGGCAGCGAGCGATTCCGCTGCTCCTTACGCAGTGAAAAGATCCTTGTGCTCCTTATGTGACGGGAGCGCGTGCAGAGCACTCCTTGGTGGTGGCCATCAGCAGGGTGAGGGCGGCTGAAACACAAGAAATTCCACTTGAACACAAGAAAACAGTTTACTGTGAGGGGATATATTTTTGTGGGAAAGTTGTGGAGTCTTCATCCTTGGAGATAACAGAACTCATCTGGGTGTGGTCCTGGGATCTGCAGAGATTCTGCCCACCCCAAACTGTTCTGTCATTCTCTGAAATAAATAAAATGCTGTATTTTCTTTTAAAAAGAAGTGGTATGCCTAATCAGATTGCTTCAGGCAATGCAAGTGTTTAGCCTTTGCTCTGCATTATTCATAGTACAGTCTATAGCAACAGCTTGGCAAGGGCTTCCCTTGCCAAGCAGGAGATGTAGCCTGAAACACCTTTTAAAAATATTTTGAAAATATATTTTACTTCRCCATCAGGATCTACTTAACTGCTATTAGTTAAGTAGTAATTAGTAGTTAATTAGTTAGAGTGTTACTGACTTTATACCGAGGAGCCCACAGGTCACTTAAATGGACTTGCRGGTCAGGTTGCACATGCAGTGACTCTGTTCGCCTAGACACTTCCTTGCCATGTCAATTTCATTCTGTGATAAAAATAATTAAAATTGTTCAGATATTTAACAGGAAATCTAATGTGTAAAATTCTAAATTATCTTGAAATTTCCAGCTAGAATGTGGTACTGGAAGAGGTTTTTGTCTCAGTTTGCTTCCCTGTTTGTTTTTTATTAGCAAATTATACAGAGACAGATGCACGTATTCTGCATGTACCTGTGACTGTCAGATATGGCTTGTCACTTTTCTCCGTCAAATTTTAGGAACTCGTATATGATACCAGGTATTGCACAAGTGATGGAAGGGCAGGGAGGAAAAGCTCCAATTTTTCCATGTCGTGTCTTTTCTTTATGTAGGAGAAGAGAACTGAGTTATAATACAGTAAGAAAACCAAGATGATGGATTCAGAAAGTTGTGCCCCAGTGAATTCAAAGCCAGATCTAAGTCATCACATAAAGGCTACATCTGGTAAACACTATCTGTGTGGTTATTGTGCTGCTTTCACAAACATAGCAGTCACTTTTCCCATCCAGAAGGTCCTTTTCCGGCAGCAGCTGTACGGCTTGAAAACGAAGGATGCMGTACATCAGCTGCAGAAAGACGGAATCCGTAATCTGTACCGTGGCATCCTTCCCCCATTAATGCAGAAGACGACGACTCTGGCTCTGATGTTTGGGCTGTACGAGGATTTCTCTTCGCTGCTGCACAGCCACACGAGCGCCCCCGAGCTCCTCACGCGCAGCGTAGCAGCGGTGCTCGCAGGGACCACCGAAGCACTTCTTACCCCTTTTGAGCGAGTACAGACTCTGCTTCAGGACTACAAATACCACGATAAATTTACAAACACTTACCAGGCTTTCAAGGTACTGAAGAACTACGGGATGAGGGAATATTACCGGGGTTTGGTACCTATCCTGCTCCGGAATGGACCCAGTAACGCACTCTTCTTTGGCCTCCGTGGACCCATCAAACAGTGTCTGCCTGAAGCAACTTCTTACAGCGCTCACTTGGTCAATGACTTCATCTGTGGAGGGTTGTTGGGTGCCATGCTGGGATTCCTGTTTTTCCCGATGAATGTTGTAAAAGCCCGTATGCAGTCTCAGATTGGTGGAGAATTTCAGTCTTTCTCAAAAGTCTTTGTAAAGATCTGGCTAGAACGTGAYAGGAATCTGATCCACCTTTTCAGAGGAGCCCATCTGAATTACCACCGCTCGGTCCTGTCCTGGGGCATAATCAATGCAACTTACGAATTCCTGCTAAAGCTGTTATGAAAAACACACAGTCTACCTTGGCAGTCTTTCTGTTTGAGTGGGGCTTGGCACACAGTGTCACTGAACCCCGGAAAACAGATCAGTTGTGAAACTTTCTATGAGTAACATTGAGTATCATGGAACATAATTCAAGGCAGCAGATATTACAGYAAGGAGATGAGTGCCCGCTTTGTGTGAAGGGTAGTCTTGACCTTTAATACTTATGGGGTAAACAGTGGTGCATCTAAACTTGGATGCAGTTAGGGGGAAAAAAGCTGAAGTATTTATGTACTAGTAGTTCAGTTTGCCCACAGGGGAATTCCTAGACAAATGGAAGGTTTAGAACAACCAAAAAAATGGTGTATTAGTCCAACAATTTATTCCATATCACTCGCACAGTTTTAACACTCCCAGTGACTGGCAATGCTTTCTGTGTGCATTGTGAAATATGAAAGTCAGGGAGGGCGTGATGAAAGCTCTCCTGATATAAGAAATACTTTTGCAAATGCTTGGGAGTTCAAAGTTAGCCTTACAGTTTAAAACTACATGGACAAGTTCAGATGGGGATGTCTTGACTTCTTGAACCTCAGAATAAAATCAAGTAAGTCTACAAAATCTGTTCTGCCCAGTGTTTTGCTGCTTGGCTTTGACATGAACTGTTCAATTCAGCAATGTAAAAGCAGTTATTGGATGTTTGATTTCAGTGTGAGCCGACCCCAGTTCAAAGTGGGATTATGTATGTGAATGTGTGTGCCTTGATGTGAAAAGGGAAATGCGGAAAGAATGAAACAGCAATTTTACTTAAAGCTTTAAAGTGTCCTTTCCTGTTWAATAATCTTCATGTGAACTTGTGAATGTCAGAGTGCTGGCTTTGTTTTTTTCTTTTTGGCCTTGCATTATTTCTGTTATAAACAGCTATGGTGCTGAAAAAAAATGATTGCTCTTTCTTTAGTGTTAATACAAAAAATAGTTCACCTTTCCCTTGTTGTGAAAGTAGTTCACAAAGCTCTTTTGTACAGAGATATCCTGCCTATTTTGCCTATTGTTTCCTTTGGGCCTTGGTGTAATTGTGGCAGTTCTGTCCACTTTATGCATACTTGGAACAACCTGTRGGACAGGACTGCACATTTAAGCAGAGGTCTGTCAGTATAATGGAGATAATGCCAGGACACAGATGAAGAGGGCTTTAGATGGAGCAGGGCAGGAGAAATGGAGGATTTGGAGGCACTTTTAAGGACTCCTGTAGCCTTGAGCGCTGGGAAGCAACTGTGGAAACGTCAACAGCTTTAGAGAAGGGGACAGGCAGCAACATAACCTGCCACARGATGACTGTCCTAATGGATAAAAGCTGTTTGAGTCGCTTGGGGAAAGGGATGAATCCCCACATGTGATGGAATACGTGGGTTTGTGGGTGAACAGTAAAGCTTTCAGACTCTGAATTGATCTGAGATCTGATAATTGATCTTACAGCATTTGCTGTACCTGTTCCTAGAGACTGGTTCCAGAGAGTACCTTATCAATGTAATCATAATATGCAGCACCTAGCTTCACAGTCAACACGGCCAGGCACAAATAAGCATTTTTTATCTCGATGTTGTGATTATATGCATTTAAATATCTGTTGAATGTTTATTTGCAGATTCTGATTTTTAATAGTGTATAGTCTTCTTTTTTTTTTTTTTTTGTAATCACTCCTTGACGGAATTAAAGAAAGTCAATCCTATCTGTCTTTGGGAATATATTTCTTCACTTTTCAGAAGTCTGGGGAGTTACACATACAGGTTTAACCAAATTTGCCCCTCATTTGTCACCCACCTCACTGTTTTTTCCTACAGTAAATGCAAGCCTTATCTGTGCTACTCATGCTTAGTGGGACGGGAACTGCAGCCCGCTGCGGATGCTGGCCTTAGGAACACGGCTGTTCTGCACACACAAGCCAGATGTGACTTGTTAAATCTCAAGGGAACACAATGGAAGAAGAAATGCAACAGGAACTTCACTGCATGGCCTCGAGCCTTCTGTCACTCGTTCAGAGATATTACTGCTCCTATAGAGGCAGGAATAAGCAACAGAGGTTGCCTCAGGTAAAGAGGGTGCTCATTTCTCTGTTGCTCAGCAGAGTTTCTTGGGCTTCCCCCAGATCCACCACCTCATTTGAACCTGTGCTGAACAGCAGCTCAGCAACATCACTGCTCCTGCTTGTCCTGGGCCCCATCTTCTGAGCGCCACAAGCAGATGTGGCCTGTGCAGCCACTCTGGGGAACACGGTGACACAAGCACCTTACTGGCCCAGATGGACACCCTGACTTTAGTCTGCTCCTCAGGTGACGTTGGGGAGGCAGAATTAACTCCTCCATGTGCCATCTTCACTAATATCTAGTAAATKGCTTTAGAGCTCTGCACTTTGCAAGTGGAAGTATAATTTTGCAGACAGCAAATGGGATGTCACCTTTGCAGGAAAACACATCTGTCTACTCTGACTTCAGAACACTTGCACTGCCTTCCTTCCACTCAGACATGGGAGAATTGCCTTTTAAACAAAGCAAGAATTGATACAAAAATTGATTAAAAAAAGAAAGCCAATTTCTCCATCAACAGAGCCATCGAGTGCAGTCTTACCTGGGTATTTCCATACTGACCTCAGCGCGCTGCCTGCTCCCTGGCTTGGTGAGTCCGCTGCACGGTAAGGGACTGACGGAGCAGCSACACATTGCAAACACAGCTGCTCTTTCCCTGAGTGCTCTTCCTTTTTACCCTTTCTAGGCCTTGAGCAAAAGGCAGCATAGCATAGAGGAGAGCTCAGTGTAACTAAAAGAGATTTTAAATTTACTTAGTTATTACATATTTGTCATGCAAGAGAAACTGCAAACCATGAATTACTATATGGCTGTAAGCGCAGYGTTTTGAGCAGTTACTGATACTTAAAAGTTATATTAAAAAGCAAAAGATTCTAGTATGAGAACTCATGCATTTCTAAATATCCTACATGTACAAACTGTTTTTGCATTAATTTAAAAACTTAGGCCTGATTGAGGATACTTGTTGTTTAAATTGGTATCAGGACATTAAAAGGTGTTTTTCCCCCTCCTTTCCTCTCTCTAGGACAGATACATTATGGACAGTGTCAACTTTTTATGCCCATCTATTCATCCGGCAAATCAGACTTTCCTCAGCTTTCACTTGGCAAGAGTATTTTACCATCAGGATCCCCTTCTCACAGTATTGCCTAGAATYGCTCCATGAGCAATGTCCATGTTCCAACTCTGGCATTATAAGCAATAAAAACCTGAGCACCCYGATCAAGACAAACCCTGCAATGAGGGGCTTGGCTCGGCCACGATGCCTTTCCTCCCCTCACCAACTGTTTTTTTGAGACTACAAACCCTGAACTAACCATGTTTGCTGGGCACAGAGATTCTCCATGGCTGTGCATGTACACAAATGTACCTAATACAGAGAAAATACGCATAAAGAAATGCCATTTCGTAATCCAGTTAGGAGTTTCCCCAGTCCCCCAAGAACTAACAGTGATGCATTGATCTCAAGTCTGACCTCGAAAGAAAGTTTCAGACATGGATTTAATTCCAGCAACGAGAGGTCCCCAGGCTATTAGAGAAGGCAAACTGCCTTCAAACACAATAGTGCTGCTGCAGAGATTTCACTGTGCAGCCTCTCTGCTTCTGCTGATCACACATGATGAGAATGGAAGAGTTATTACACTTACATGGACTTACAAAGCATATTGCAGTCAAAGTAAGAGTCCCATCTGCCACATAAATTCTGTAAAATTTAGCAAGTGATGTAACATATCACTTGGTGTACAGTGGTSTAAAACAGAGCACTGTATAGGAGAAACTACCTTTTGCTATTAATGCAAAGTTTATAATTCAAGCTATCATTTGAAACATTTTCTAATATGTGAAAGTTGCTTTTCTGTTTAATAGTTCTGCCCCTTTGAAGCTTAAGGATTGATCGTTAAGAACTCACTCTTCCATGTAAAAAACATAAAATTTTATGTATTTTTTGACCTTGAAATAATCCAAAGATCACCTATGAACTACTTCTTTAATTCAGTAAGGCAAGATAATATGATTTAGAAAGACAAAAGCTGAAAACCATTCCATYACCCAAGATGTACCTGCAAGGCGTATTGGTTATAAACTGCTGAAGACAATTTTCAAGGTAACCGTTAGGTCAACTTTATAGGGTCTGGTGAGGTGAACTTTATACTTGCTGTCACTGAAGACTTCCAAGTACTGGTGCAGAAGAGGAACAATCACTCACAGCTTAAGGCCTTCTACTCACTGTAGCTCAAACTCATTGTCGGTTTCATCAGACGAGTTACAATACTCCTCCGGTTMGGATGTATGGAATCTGTCCTATTCCATACTGCTTTCCTTTCCATTCACCTATTGCTTTTTAGTCTGTGCAAGCTGCAAGAGCATCCGCACACCATGAGGAGCCTCAAGCAGCTGGTCAGCTCCTGCTGGGTCTTSAGCTCCTCAGAGCTTTGACCAAAGCTGGTTAACCTGTCCCTCCTGATGCCCTCTACGGTACGTAGTATTTACATAAAATATGACATGTAYCACCTTACAGGAACATTATACAGCATTGCTCTTTATACAGCATAGCATCCAGTATGTCAGAACAATAACCTTATAAAAAACAGCATGTTAATAGGTAGCATTAAAAAAGTAAAACTTGGTACATATTAACAGGCATAGCTTAAAGTAACAAGCAGTCCTCATGGTCCACAAAATAGGAAGCTGGAGGACATACATCTTGTGATATCACATCTTGTGATAAGTCCAGTTAAACTCAGATATATTTTAAACTAACAGGCCACAGCAGAGAAATATCCAATACAACTTCAAATTGCTTGAGAATCTATCTATATATCCCAGATTAATCACACCAGATTTAACACTTCCATTGCATTAATTTCAAGAATCCAGTAACCAGCATTTTTTTTCCTGCAGTGTTTTTGTTGTGTTAACTTTTAATTTCTGAATAGCCTGGCATTAACAAACACATTGTGGTTAGGTTTCTTCTCTCCATGAGAAAATTGTTTTCCAGCAATGTAACTGTCACCTGCACATTTCACTTTCTGTACTTCATGTTGAAAACCAGATTTCTCTCAAAGTCTTTCTACCAAACCAATAAAATCCAAGCTGCCTGCAATTTACAYACGGTTGTGTAGGCTGTCATACACACTTTACATGCCACATGAAGTTATATATTACTAATTGGCTGGGTCGACCGACATCATTCCACACTACTACCCAAATCTTTTTTTTTCAGTTATTAGATCCCATTTTTCACAACTTGGCCAATTTGCTTGGAGAGAAGAAGATTTTTATGAATAACGTCTTACAGTCGTTAAGCTGTAAGCACTTATGTGTTTAAGTGTCTGAACTCAAGGCATGGTGTCTTAAAAAAAAAAAACAGGGGATATCCCTTAGTTCATGATTTTCCATCATTATAATTTTGAGTTCAAGGCAACAGTTGCAGCAACACAACAACTGCTCGAAGGGCATGTGATGGGACACTCTTAGATCCAAGTTGCCGGAAAGATCATAAATTTACCTCTACATTTTAAGTTAACTCAGGACATCTACTTAAAGGAAAATTCCACCTCCTCCAGGTGGGAAGACAATCTGCTGAGAGACAAACACAGAATAATTCTGTTAAAAAAACATATTATGAGACTGTAAAATTTTGGACACTTCTCCAAGAATAAGATGTCTTTTATCTAAGTCTTTTATCACTCAGTTGAACACAAAAACCCAAGGAAGAGTTAATTTACTAGCCCTACCTTCCAATACCAATATTAAAGGCTTAATGCCAACGAAATTCACCTGCAGAAAAAGTAAGCTTAAGGGTTTTTTTCTTGCACTCAAAGAGGCATTATGTTTCACAGACTCCTCCATCAGGAGCACAGAGAGCAACACCTACATAAACTCAAAATCACGTTACAGGATTGTCAGCTTGGTCAGCTTTATGTATTTACGTCAGCTACTTCATCTTCACTAACGTCTCCTTTTTTCCCCAAGCATCTTTTTTTTTTTCTCCCCAAAAAAGGATGTTTTTGTCAGCCTTCAACAAGCATGTTCTGTCAAACTGTAAGTACAGAACCTAAACAGCAAAATAGACCTTTTTAGGTAAAGCTTCCTGTAGAATTATGTTTTGTCAGTAAAATCYTAGTGAAATACTCAAAGCTACCTTAGAACCTATAATGCTGAGAATAATATAAACTGATATGGATGTAAGAAACTGTATTACATTTACAAGGTTTAGCTGTAATAACTCAAGAAGCAAAACTTGACATTCGTACTTAATATGTGCATTAATGCTAAACATTAACATTTTTCACATCTTGTGGTAAGTCCTGCTAAATTCAGATGGGTCTTACTTTAGACAGAGTATACTTATAATCTCTGTCATACAACATGTTAGAAAAAAAAATTTGATGAAGTCACGAACACTTTCTGGACAAATTCCTCTAACAATGGTCTATGCTGGCTGCAAAAAAACATTCCATATCAGCTGAAAAAAGAACCTGCAGAGCATTAAGTGTCAAATACGTTACCAAGATTTTTATCAACGATGCGGAAAGCTTCCCACAATAGAAGTACCCCTGTAGCTAAGAAATACAGTTTGCTCAGAGGCCAGCTAACCTATCATTTTACAAAAAACATTCAATATACAGTGATTATGTGGCAATATTTTTGCCCATTAAGCTCTCAATTCCCTGCCCCTGTCTTCTACTAAATTCTCTTGAGAAAAATGTAGCTACATCTCTATCCAGAATCTTTTCCCTCTGGCAATAAACACAATATATACAGTTAGGGAAAAGCAGCCTAAAAGACTTAAACTACAGCAAAACATTACAGTATGTTTACTAATCTTTCTAGCCAATCACAAATAACCAAATTTGTATGTATAAATGAAAATGCTTTTTCTTTTTGTGGCAGGAACCAATCTGGCGTGGACAGAACCGGCTCTGTTACCTAACAGTTGCTGTATAGCAGCTTCTGCAAGAGAAGAGGCCAAGTCTATGTGAGGAAGCCCAGTTCCTCTGAGCAAAAGGACATGGTGCCAGCGAGACCTGGGTGACTTTGGCTGAACTTGTACTCACGCTCCACCCACGTTTCTTTTGGAAAGTCCACTTCAAGTCACGTTTAAATGATAGATCAGCAAGTATTGCTACACAAGCCAACCGGAGGGAGGATGCACGGTGCGGGATCAGCGGTGTGCACGGAGGGCAGAGAAGAGCACCACGAGCCTTGCCCCTGGGTGCAGCACATCAGAACGCACCAGCGACGCAACTGCTCACTGCTRTGTTCACAGACCATAATAACTATGATCTTATCTGAATTTACACAATTTCAAAAAGAACACACTTCAACTAAACTGAAGTAATTATTAACACAAACGTCTGAAGTTCCTGGTGATGAACGGATGTCCCTAGAACTTTGGCTGATACAGAGACACACGTCCACTAAGGCACCCCGAGGCGATCTGACAGTGCGTTGGGGAGAACTTTGTTGTCAGTACAACGTCATTGTGAGAGTAGAGGGAACGGATCTCCTGTAAGGGACTAGCTTCTTTGGGCAAGCAGTCAACAAGTTCACTGCACTGTGCGTCGAATCCCAGCAAGCGGATCCCGTAGCCGTGCGGGGACGAAATCATCCGGCCGTCGGGGCTGAAACACAGTTCCTTGATGTACCCCCGGCCCACGTTGGCTTCTTCGATGCAGTGAGTCAAGCGCAGAGAACAACGGGGTGAGACAGGGCGCACAGGGGCTCCTTCCTGGAATTCATAGACACAGGTCCACTACAAAGAGAGGCAGAGCAAAAAATGCTGAGATAATGTTCAAATACTCATTTGGAGTAAATTGCAGAGAAACAGCTGCAGTTGCCATTCTGTGATAAGCATTTACTGCTGAATGAACTGCTGAAAACAGATTCGTCCCCCCTTTCCTCTTTGAACTCTCCATGCAAAACAGTTTAACCAAACTGTTGGTATGTCTGTTAGATGTAATCTTCACAGATATTTTTAACTGGAAATATTAAAGCCTAATCCTTTTGAGTCTAATTAGGAGTCTAACTAAAAGCTTAAATTATTTCAGCTGTTCACTGGTATTTTGTGCTCTTAACTCAATAGCAAAACACCTTGCAAAGGACCAATACAGATTTTGAAGCAAAGCTACAAACAGATCTATAGATGGTTTGCACCACAGGAGACCACTTGGGATGTTAATGCAGAATGTAATAATTTAATTTGAAGCCAAAGGCAATTCCATTATTCCAAATCAAGTCTGCAGTATTGCAAAAGGTACAGACAGTGCTAAAGATTTCCAGCCACAGGAGAGAAGAAATGTTCTTACTTCAGTTCAATGTATTCTAGTGCAGTAAACACAAGATCACACACCTTGCTTGAGTGTTCATGGAAGAGATTATGGTAGACATTGGGACTGTAGAAAATTTTAACTAGCTTATTTGTTTGTTAAAATTAACCCAGTCTAATATTTGCATAAAAAAAAGACTGCTAAATTGACAGAGGAAATACTAAAATGTATACTAAATCTGCCTAATTTCTATTCAGTCATCTATACCAGCTCTGCAAGAATATACAAACAGTGCATCAGGACATGCAAAAAAACATGAAAATAAATTTTTGTGGCTGTACAAATATGGTCTCTAAAAGGTATTTATCRGCGGTGCAAGTATATTTATCCTTGGGAGACTGATAGACAAAAAAAGAAAAAAAATCTCTTGAAAGGAGGAGGTGATGGTCTGTTCAGCTTACGCCACAACTACTAACACCCGACTCTGTAAGTTTGCGCCTTTTCCAAGCACCATCCTTCCACTGACGGGAACATTWAAAAAAAAAAAAAAAACACTTCTTTCAGGAGTTTTATACTTATATATAAAAATGTATACAAGAAGTATTCTCTGAAAGAGCTAGGCATAAAAGACACAAACCTTTCAAGGAATCCATTTGAAAAAAAAAAAAAGCTTCATTACCTTAGTCTAAATGCATAAGTGCATTAACTAATTTATTTAGATGGAAAATAAGAAGGAATTTTCAAACAGTTGTATGATCAAAAAATACCTACTCAAAATTGGTACTTTTACCTACTTAGACTTTTTAACAAATATTTATTTTACCTCCTGGTCATCTGTATTACTTGAGCACCGCAGAAGTGTGGCCCACCCTTTYGGATGGAGCTGTAGCGACGTGATGCAGTTTCCACGGTCTCTCTCTCCAGGAACTTCTGGTGTTAAAACCTCTAGACTATTTCTAGGTGATCCACCTAGGAATGGAAGTCAACGTTAACTGCAATGCACTCTGCAAATTTATTTTTACTTCTTTATTCAGTCTGAGACTACTTGAGCAYGTGAAGTTTACAGTATTTTCTAGCAGTTAGATACATTACCTTTATGAAAGTATAAAACAAACAAAAGGTTATAGTGACAAACGACATTAATACCAAAGGCTCGGTCTTGATTCCRAACAGCCTTTTAAAAAAAAAATCACCTGCAAAGGCCAAAGCTAGAATCATCTCATATCATGAACTAAGTCAGGGATAAGTATTCACACATAAACTTTTCACTGTTAACAATGACATTTAAATGAAGTTTGAAGAATTCTTGTAAGGAGTTACCAGCTATCAAACATGCATGATGTCCTTTCCAAACCCTTGTAAATCTGCTCAGCTGTTTGCAGCTTGCTTCCCTAGCACACTAACCCACAAAGAGTGTTTTGCAGATAAAYTGTGCTCTGGAATCCAGATAATCCTTCTTTTTCAGCAGTGATTATCTTAAATTACAAGTAGTTAAAGCTTGATGCTCTCCTTATTTTAAKATGGCAAACTGAATTGAACAAATACTTGCTTCTTTGCCCAAGTTCATGCTGACTCTCTGAAGRGGTATCCAAGACCAGATCCAGCCTGTTACACACAGTCTCATGGCGTTTTATAACTTGTATTTAGCTAGGATTTGATTTGTAAATCATAATTTCAAAAATAATTCAGCCAAGTCTTAAGAACACAACCAATACACCTCTTTTCCATGCTGGTGACTAGGCATGGAGAAACAACAGAAACTATCAGTAAGGTAAACATTTACGATGGCTAAGTTCTGCTCTTTTAAAATAATTTTTAAAGATGATGCAKGTGAAATTCACTGAAGAAAAGAGTTAAGACAGTACACTTGCATTACAAGGACAATGCCCTAGAACAAATTAAATATCCTTTTGCCTTTTTTCCCCTCACATTTCTTGGGGAAAAAAAACCAAACAAAWTAGATCTCCAGTCTTCACTGTGCCAATGCCATTTACGGTTTTTTTTTTCAAGAACCAAAGCAATGAATTTCTACAATTGAAGGAAACAGAAAAGCAGTTTCCGACAATTTCTGTGTCTGGACTCACCTTCCCGCTGTGACGGCCGTGAGGTATGTTTCTCAAACAACGCACCCGAATCGTTCTGCTGACAGGGTGAACCAGCAGCTCGAGAGCCCGATGAGCCGGTAGACGTTGTATCTGCAGAGAGCATCAGCCACACGAATACAACAATAAGATTTGTCTTTAGGGCTGTATTTATGTCTCACTGTTCTTTAGGAAGGGCAAGTAAAGCCTTGGGAAGTGAGGAGGAGAGGGGTACACCTTCTTAGGAAACCAGTTTTCCAAAAGTTGCGGATCTCTACATTTGCAACCTGAAGTACGTTATGTTTTTGTCTCACACAAACTCCAGCGCAACAGGCTTTTGCAAGAGGTGAATTCTATTCTTTCCTCCTTATGCCCTATCACTGCAGCATGAGCTTCTCCCTGGCCCACTCTTGTCATATTGAGGCACCCAAAAAAGGCAGTTTCTGACGACTACCTCTATATTGTTGACACTGCTACACAGCAGGGTGACACAAGAATCAAGACATCAGAGCACATGGTTCTGCCAGGTTTGCCACAGGAGTAGTTACAACAGCACACGGGAGCAGTTGGCATTTACTGGAAGGCTCACATACCTAACTCACTTTTTTTCTACAGGTCCAAGGGCTAGACAGGTAAAAGTAGACATTACCAGCCTGAGCCGACAGACTAACACAGGCCTAACCTTCTGTATTACTGAGGTCTTGGTATCAGGAATCCCCCTGGACACTCTACTCACGGACGAGGAAAGTGTCATGCAGGATGCATGCACCCTTGAACGAACAGCTASCCGAGCTCCCCTTCAAAGTCTGGCTTCACCTCCAGCTTCTTCTGCTAGCTAGGAGTATCACACGAACCCTCTCCACGGCAGACGGCAGTGAGAGGCTCACACGAGCGCTCACCTGAATTTGATGTAGTTCTCCTAGCTCTTAAAATCGGGTAGCTGCCAACCTCTAAGGATTTATTCAAATCAAGATCATGCAAAATCAGGAGATAACCAGAGGAAGTAGAGATCAGCATCTTGGAACAGTCTGGTGTCAGCCTCATTCTCATAAGAAAACGGGTGTGAAAAAACTTCTTGTGAGGACACCCATCTTCTGTGCACCTGGACCACAGAGGAAAATRAGAGAAAAAAAGAAAAGAAACTGAGCATCCTGGCCCACAAACCTATTTTGGGCACTACTTTTATCCTACTTACATCAGATTCTAATGATATGTCAGATGCAACACTTTCATACTGCCGTGACAATGAAGATGCCACATTTTCATAAAAAAAAGAAAATCAAGTTTTGGAATCTCAGCAAATAAATCCTCTTCTCTTTCTACCTGCTAAACAACTGCTGTATCAAGGCAATACAAACTTCCTTAAAAAGGTTTATAAATTAATAGTCGTATTTAAAAATCACCACGACATCCATCAATGTCCATGTCATTACRTGGCATTTCCATGTCAGGTAAAAGAATTCTACCTTTGTCCGCTGCAGAAATGTAACAGTTCACACACACAGACACACATGTACCTGTTTGTGTCCCAGATGATCACGTTTCCATCAAACCCTGATGTTACTAGTAGCCTTGTATTGGTGTCATACTCGATGTTCTTAACCCAGCTGGTGTGACCATGTAAAGTGCATACTTTTGTATTCAGCTTTCTTAAATCCCAAAGTGCTATTGTAGTGTCATCGGAACAAGTCGCAAACAGTCGATTATCTAGAAACCTGCAGATTGGACAGAAATACAGCTGTGTTTCTCCAATTTAAAAACCTTCTCCAATTTAAATGTTTATAAATATTTATTTTAACTTAAGACTTAAGTTCACTTTGAGAAAGAGAGAGGGAGGGAGGGAGTGGGAGGGAGAAAGAAAGAGAGAGAGAGAGAGAGAGAGAGAGAGAGAGAAGGAAACACATACAGAATGATTTATAAGAGAATGTTTGTTGAGAAGGCTTACAGTTGTGCCAAAAAATACATAAATAAATAAACCTCAGAACGATTAAGGTTAAAAGGGACCTCTATAGATCCAGTCCAACGCCCTGCTCAAGCAGGATCATCTAGAGCAGGTTGCCCAAGGTTGTGTGCAAGCAGGTTTGGAGTATCCCTAGAGACGGAGACTCCATGGGCCCTTTGGACAGGCTGCTCCGATGCTCTGTCACCGTCGCAGTGAAGATGTTTTTTCTCAAATTCAGGTGGAGCCTCCTGTGCTTCAGGCTATGCCCACTGCCTCTTGTCCCAAGATATGCCATTGTTCCACATCCCAGYATTTCTGGCAATGAGGAACCTGACCTCCAGAAGCATAAAGAAGGATTTATTTTTCCTTTTAAACAGAGATTCTTTCCTTTTAAATAAAGTCTGTTGATAAGTGATCAAGAGGTAGTCCCCATGGCAACTAAAGCAGTTTCCTAGATTAACATTATTCAATTTTAATTAAATTTACCACATCTGGATGAAGCACAACCAACTTTCATCGTTTTTTAGATCACTCATTGGCAAGATATTCCCACTGACTGGTCCGGCAGCCCCTGCAATAGAGGTCTGACATCCTAGACTATACCTGAATTATTTCTTTAGTGTTTTCCACTTTTGCACTATCCCTTTTTAACTCTGGTTCAGCAGCAGCAAAAGACACAACAACCCTAACTTTCATTTCAGATTAAATAAGAGTCTAATGGCTCTTGATAAATTAAGCCACAGTTTAATATTTGTTTCTATCCATCCCTATTTTTCCCATGCCGTTCTTTAAGTCTTCATCTTTTTCCATGGTACACATAACCCCCCTACATTCAAATTAGATCTTTTCAGAAAAGGTTGTTTTTGTTAACACCCTGCTGAGGTTCTTCAACCCCGCTGTTCCACACTGCACACATCCTGTCCAGCCACACAACACACTTTGCACACAGAGCTTCTTCCAGATAACTTCTGAACTCTGTCTGAAAGGATCTGCTTGTGGTTTGCATCACGTATCACCTAGCGCTTCACTCTGTCAGCTGGGAAAGCRAGCAGGGAAAGATCTTACCAGACCTTGACTTCCCTGCAAGACGCAAAACAGGCTAGTAAAAACAGCTGATAGCAGCTTGAGTAAGCTTCCCATAAACTGCATCTCCTCCATTAAAAAGGAGATTTGGCTCTGTGACATACCACTGCTATCAGACTCCTTATTCTCTTTCTAGGGCTCCTCACCCATAACTTGGGAAGAGAAGAAAATGGCACAAGAAGTACAGCCCAACAGCTACATAAACCCACTCCACATACACACACAAAACTACAAAATTTATTACGCTATCATAAAAAAAAAAAACATTTCTGCAGAAAGGAAAAATTAGGAGAAAATATGACTTACCTGATATTATTCACACAGTCCTCATGAGCTTCAGAGAGAGTTTTAATATGCTTTGAAGATATTGGGTCAAAAAGCAGGACTTCAGTTTGTTCACAAGCAACAGTCAGCACTGACCTGCAAAATAAAGCAGAAAGGAAGCATTTCCATTGAGTAAAACACAGTATTTATGCCTGTCTAGCTAATTCCCATCCCTAGCCTCACGAAAATATCACTTAGGTTGTTAAGCTATTTAGTATTTTGTTTTGTATACTCAGTGCACAGAGCCCGCTACAAGCRTTTACGTGTTTTTAATTGCCCTTTCTAGATTCTGTCTTTCAAACACCCTCTAATTCAAAGAAGAAAAAAAAAAAAAAAGAAAGGAAAAGAGTGGATGAAATTAACCGAGAATAAGTGGRAAGGAAGAAAGGAATTCCGCACTCGAGTTCCACTGCAGACTTCCCATTCTGGAGTCTCCCTACGCACTGGCTGTGAGCAGTTTTTGGGGCCCGGGGATCCTGCAGGAATTCCCTTCGCCCACGCGGGGCTCTGTGAAGCCAGCAGGGTGAGGGGAGCCGCAGTGGGGCTGGCTGCCGCCTTCCCGAGCCCCACGCGAGCCGCGCGCGCAGCCAGGGCCCGGCCCTCGGCACACGCGGAGCGTCCTTCCCACCGATACTCTCCCTGCTCACAGTCCCAAGCACAAGCGCACTCAGTCTGCACATCCAGAAGGACAGAGGCTTGGGAGGTTTTACACCAAACTTGCCACTTCACAACATCCCCGGCTCAAGCCAGAAGATGTTTAGATGAAGTTATTTTTTTAAAGAAAATAACAGGAACTCAGAACAACTCCTGCCAGATATTGCTTGTTGTTAACTATGCAGAAAACCAAATTATGTGACAAAAGCTATTTTCTTTTCTAAACGCTGCAGTGCTAAACAGGCTAAACAAGCGCAACAGGCTAAATCCAACATGAGCAGAGACCGAAGCTGGCAGCGTGGCTACTTGTTATCCATACTCCTGAAGATTAATTTGGCAATAGCTACCAAAACAAGTCTAGAGCAAGACCTGATATCTCGCTACACCATTAATTCATTTGCAAACAGGAGATGTTACTCATTCACTCAAAACAGCTCCTTCCCCCCCCCCACATGAGGACAAGACGCCAGGACAGCTAAGAACAAACATCAACAACTACGGCATGGGAGAGGACAAGCGGCTGCGGAGSAGCAGCTCCCCACAGGAAGGGCAGGTGTAGCTCCTAATGCCCACAGCTCCAGCCCCAGCCCCGAGGAGGCTGAGGGCGCTGCGGGAGGMGCAGGGAACACGGGAACACGAACAAGGAATGCAGCACGGCCGAGCAGCGCTGTCGGCTCTGGAGAAAGGAGGCAACAAGGAGCTCACGACGCTCCGAGGTCAGCACCACGCAGAGCCGGTCTGCGGCTGCTCGAGCTTCACACTAACCAACAGGGACAGGGGGACGAGCGGAGTTTTCGCGCTCCTATTTCTCCTCTCCCCCCGGGCCGTGCCGAGGCGCGGGCAGCAGCACCGGGCCGGGGCTCCCTCGGGAGCGGCTCTGGGAGCCGCGCGTCCCTGCGGGGCGCTGGGCGCTGCCGGCGCGGCTCACCGCGGCGCGAGGGCTCTGCTCCCGCTCCGCGGGCTGCGGGAGCGCGCGGTGCGGCGCACACGGCTCCGAGCG